CAAGTTTGATAGAAATCAGTATCTTCTTTCTCCTTCAATGACAAAGTCAATCTATCCATCTCTGCACAGTCCAAGATCTTTTTTAGGATCAGTTCGTCGGTGGGTGGTTCTTCACTTTTCCTGTGTTGAGCAAATGCAATCCTCGCCGCAGTGATTACATGCAAAATCAAGTACATTTCTTGTTTACTAATATCAACAGGTATAATGCCTGATAAGAAAACTTCAGGTTTAAAAACTAAGGATTTTTGTAACATTTCCTCAAGCCATTTATGTATTTTAATCCAGTACTTTTTCGCATTATCGCACGTCCACCACATATGATATAGAAAATACCCAATTTATGTTTACATTTCCAACATCCATTTGACATATTTGGAAACATCTTAGCTAATCTATTTGGCGACAGATACCATCTATAAAACATTTTATACAGGTTTTCTTTATACGAAGTTGCTAATGCTACCTTAATATTTCTCTCCCACAGCTTTTGCCATTTTTCCAATTCAATATTATATCCAAAGTTTTGTGCCCACGTTATCATAGTTTCTTTAACCTGTTCATCTTCCATTCTCCTAGCAAGTAAGAAATTATATAGTCTTTTAATCATTTTCTCATCTGATTTAAGCATCACCTGATCAAATGCTGTTAAGTCCTTATAAAAACCCCACATTTTATAGTCTTTAGCATATCTCGATTGTATCTGCACCTTATGCCACCAAGAGATATTAGATCCTTGCTCTTGTGTTTCTTGATTTACTTTCAATCCTCCATCCTTATCCAAAATGTCATCATATCTTATGATCCCTTCAAAGTTCAGTGCATTTGGATATACCAAAGCTTCCAAGGGTGAAAGCCATCTTGGTAATTTATTATACAATTTTGTCTTTAACTTTTCCCACACCGACATTAATGATTTTCTAATATAGTGACTTCAAAAGGAGCCATGTAACTTAGCCTTCTCGTACCACATATAAGCATGCCAGCCAATTTGCAAATCATGCCCTTCAAGATACAAGATTCTCTTATTTCTTAAAGTTATTCATTCTTTTAGCCACGTTAACACAGAAACTTGATAGTACAACATCCAGTCAGGGAGACCAAAGCCCCCATTCTCTTTAGCCTCCTGAAGTATTTTTAGTTTAATCCTTGGTTTTTTCTTTCTCCATATAAATCTTGAAATTTGAAAATTTAAATCATCAAAAAACTTTCTATCAATTTTTATGGGAATCATTTGGAATAGAAACAAAAGCTTTGGTAATATATTCATTTTAGCTAGTGCTATTCTTCCCGGCAAGGATAATTTCAAATTAGCCCATTGTTCCAAATCACTCTTAATATCCTTCAATAGTTTATCATAATTGTCTTCTTTCAGAGTGGTACACTTAGCTGTAAGATAAATTCCCAAATATTTAACATTTTTAACAATCTGCAAGTCTACTTGTTCCTGCAGAGTTTTTCTCTGATCCTGTGTAAAATTTTTTACTAACAGTTTCGTCTTTTCTCTATTTATTTTCATCCCGGTAACCTCACCGTATTCTTAATCCTTCGTAGGAGTTTAGGCATTGTTACAAAGGGTTCCTCCGTTATGAAAACTAGATCATCTGCAAATGCTTGCAATTTATAGCTTTCATCTCTGATTCTAGTACCTTTAATGTCCATATCATCCCTGATATTTCTGTTTAACACTTCTAAGATCAATATAAACAACAGAGGTAATAGTGGCCATCCGTGTCTTATACCCTTTTGTATATCTATAATATTTGTGAATTCTCCATTGATTATAATCCTAGCAGACTGCTTTTGATAGATGTTTGATATCGCATTAATAAACTTTTCACCAAACTCCATTTGAGCCAACTGTTGCTTCATAAATTGCCAGTTAACATTGTCAAAAGCCTTCTGTGCATCCATGAATAATAGTGCCATTGGTTTTTCCATATGTATCTCATAATACTCTAAGATGTGCAAAATAGTTCTCAAGTTATTCCTCATTTGCCTTTTAGGTAAAAAACCATTTTGATCTGAGTGAATAAAGTCTGTTAGGTACTTCTTCAATCTTTCTGCCATTATGGAGGCAAAAATTCTGTAATCCACGATATAGGTCTATAATTTTGAATCTGCGTCAAGTCTGTGTCTTCTTTCGATATTAATGTGATATTTGCCTCTGTCCAAGTATTTGGTATTTTAGCATTTAACAGTGCTGCATTACATATATCCTTAAGAAGCATAGCAAAAATTCCTTCTAAGGATTTACAAAACTCTGCTGGTAGCCTGTCCAGGCCAGGAGTTTTATCGTTCTTTTGTCATTTAATTGCCTCTGTTACTTCCATGATTATTACTTCTTGATTCAATACTTTTTGGTATTTCTCCGGTAATTTTGGCAGGTCTCCCTTTCGGATATATTCTTTTACTATCTCAGTTGATATCTCATCACTCTGGTATAGCTTTGCAAAGAAATCTTCCACTGTTTTCTTGATATGTATACTTTGTACTTGCAGTCGTCCTTCTCCATCTTTCAATTTACAAATCAGTCTCTTCTCTCTTTCTTTACTTTATAGGCTAACCATCTCCCTGATTTATTAGCATTTTCAAAGAAGTTCTGTTTGGTCCATTTCATTTGCTTAGTAAGTTCATTTGTGTCCAATAGGTTCAGTTTATGTTTTAGAATATTCATTTGGACCCTAAGGGGTTTTTTTGGATGGATCTTCCTGTAGTTCTTGTTCAGATTTTGTCAATTCCTCTACTATTTTAGCTCGTTCTTGTTTTCCCCTTTTGTTTGTTTTTGCTGAGTATGTTATTATCATCCCCCTGACATAGGCTTTGGCTGTATCCCAGACATTTTGCAAAGAGGTTTCTTCAGTTTTATTTATTTGAAAGAATATTTGCATTTCCTTATTTATCTCTTCTGTGAATTTTTTATCCTTTAATAAGGCTTTGTTTAAGCTCCATCTGGGCGTCATTACTGTCCCTTTCAGTGATATAGCTACAGGGTTGTGGTCTGCCCTGACATTTGTCTCTATTTCACCTTCTAACAAATCTGGTACTAAGTCCAAAATCTATTTGATTTCATTGGCACCATTTATTTTTAAATTCCTGGGTCCTGAGGCCACTAAATCACCACTTTCTGTGGACAGTACCACCCAGCTGGCACCTTTGGATGGGTCCATGTGGCTGTGTGCCCACCCTTCCCAACCACTGCAAAATATTAGATATTTGGCATTTGAAAATAGTAGTTTGGTGCTGAAGCAGGAATGGGAGGGAGAATGCTGCTGGAGAGAAATAGAGATGCTACTTATGTGGCAATCCAATGCATATTTGCTTGGAAGGAAGTTCCCCAGAATCAGTGGAGTTTGTTTCCAAGTCAGGATTCATGGGACCAGGCCACACTGAGCCACTACAAGAATCTGCCGCGTAACCTCTGTGAGATGAAAGTGCATTCTGGAGGATGTGCTCCCAGCCCATCCCAGGTTTACTGCTTGGTCATGTAAAAATGGGGAATGTTGCAGAAGAGAGGAAGTGTGTAAGAATGCTATTGTAAGTCCAGAAAACAATATTGCTTCCAAGATCCTGAAATGTTATATCTGGTTGTACCTCATTTACTTCTTGGGTTAATATTGTCTCCGTTGGTTGTTTTCCCTCTCTTAAGTTCTTTCGCGGGGGAGGGGTGTATGTGTATGAGAGAGAGAGAGAGCCTCCCTTTTATATTCTGCCTGATTTTAATTATTTTTGGTGCCCCCTTCAAAAGTGCTTATCTACTCCCAGCACAACGCATTACAAAATAAGGCAAGGCAAATTCTATTGTCTAATTTCTAAGAACGGAAGCTCTATCTTTCCTGGTGGTTCTCAGAAATCAGCTGACCAAAACTAGCAAATAAGGTTGAGCAAAGGCAGTAGGAAAATCGTCCCAGAAGATCATGCATGGGTATCATCATTCCACAGACTCATCACCACACATTTGCTCTGCCTACATTTCTACCACAAACTCTTGCTCTCTCCTTCATTCCTCTCCGGCCAAATTAGCAGCAGAAGCCCTACTATGGAGCTGTTGACCCCCTCTGCTTGTTATTCAAGGTAAGAAAGCTGGCCAGCTGGGCCCATGCTCTGTGTAGCAAATGCAATAGGTGTGTGTCGATGCTCTCAGCAAATGCATAAAATGGTTTCCCCTAAGCAGGCCCATCCAGGTGTCTTGGGGTACAACTCTGACCATTGGCCATGCTGGTAGGGGTTGATAGGCAGCAATATCCACAGGGTACTAGGTGGGGAGATGCTCATGTAAACAGCATACAACAGACCTTGCCTGGGTCAGGCCTTCCAAATATGTGTATGTACAAGTGTTTTAAAAAGCTGACGTTTCAGCCCCACATTATGTGTTTGCTACAGGAAACACTAAGGTACAGGCAGACATTGTGCTTGTTGCTGGAGGTGGGAATCTGCCCTCAGAAGGCATCCCATGTTGTTTGCTACCTTTGCGAAATAACTTAGATTTGGAAGATAAACAGAACGGAAGAAGACCTTAAAATGGAAGATACTTTTTGTACTCTTAAGGAATGGGTCATAGGAAGATGCTCTATGTGATGTCAGAATATTTTTCCTTCCAGGACTGCGCTGTGTACAGTCCTTTGGCAGACACTTTTCTTTTTCCCATCATCCACTGCCAGTTCCTTTTAACTGGAGGTGCTAGGAATTGAACTTGGGACCTTCTCCATGGAGGGCTTGTTGTCCACCACCAAGCAGAGGTTCCTCAACGAGTGATCAAACAATCATTTGATGCCTGTAGACAAATAGATACTAGTGCACTGAAGGAAATATATGTAATATTATCTGAGCATGCTTGCTTTCTTCCTAGGTTTTTTTAAGGAAATAGTTGGAAAACTAGCAAAAAAAGTCATGATGATTGTCCTTTCTCTCAGCTGTCAGCAGTGTCTTGAAAAACCTTTATATGTAGTCCTATGGCGAACAGTTGTTTTAGCTGGTTGTTTTTCTTCTCTGTAGATCAGATTATCATCCTAAAGTCCTAAAGGTTCTAACATGATTTTTTATATTTTGATTTTTTAGCACTGACATTTTGAGGGGACACACTTATTTGCCTACGTTCCTAGTGAGCCTGCTCTGAAAATAAGAGCAAGCTCAGAGGTGTACCTAACCAAGAAACCTGCAAAGTTTCAGAAGGATAGGTGCAGTGGTTCAGGTAGAAGAGAGATTCTTCCATTTTGGGTGAGTGAGGGAGGAACTGATTCCGTTCTCCTCTTCTCCACTCCCTCCCCATGGTTTTTGAGGAAATTTGGAAATGGCATAAATCATAAAGGTACAATACTTGGACAGGTACAGGTCCTAAGACATTATGCTGACTAAAAATTGGTTTCTTGTAGCATTTGTAGCATGTGCACTGCATGGTCCGATTCTTGCTCACCCACAGAGTGCCTGGTGAATTGTGCCCTATGGTTAGAGGGATAACATTCAACCCCATTCTCTCTCCACCCCATATCAGCTTTTAAAGAAACAAAAGGCACACTGTCTGCCTTTTAAAAGCTGCATTAAAACTGCGGCCTCACAGGAGGCCCAGTTTTGGTTCACATCACCTTAGGGAGAAGCTCACTTTGCCTCTGGTGAATGGTCTAAAGAGGCCCATTCGGCTTGGGCTTCATCTAAGTCTGTCGTGAACCTCCACTGGCCACTACTGAAGAACTGTTGCCATCCTTTAATAGACATCCTTTAACTCGGTTTCCAGAATATTACAGGTTGACGCCTCAGCAGCACTAAACATGCTCTGAAAAAAAGAACCCCAATTTGTGGCCTTAATTCCTTTGTTGTTGAAGTGTTGATCACTTTAGGTCAGCTCCACCAGGGAATGCTCCTGGCACCATAACGGTGGTTGTCCCTTCAAACAATGCCACCGCCCAGGAGGAAAAGAAGACATACCCAAGAAAGAATGAAGCTCTGGGGGGTAAGAATACCTTCATCCTGAATACTTTTGAGCTTGGGTTAAAGTATCTGTGGGGAGGTTAATTCTCAGTAGGAAAATATCACCTTAATTTAAGATTTGTACTATTAAAAGCTATGTTAGTCATGTCTCCTTTATAAATTCAATGTTCTTTCTGTTGAGAATACTTCAGTGAAGGACTTCACCTTACTAGATATGCAGTACAATCCTATTGTATGTTTACTCAGAAGTAAGTCCCACTGAGGTGAATGGGTTTTACTCCCTAGTAAGTGAGCATAGGCTCACGCTGCCATTTGGTAAATTAGCTTTAGTTGATTAATTGTCAAGGGTAAAATTGAATGGCTTGTGTAGAGATTCCTTGAGGGCATTAAGAATTTGGTGAGTTACCATAAGTAAGAATTAAAAAGAAACCATTAAATGAGGATCTTTCTTCTAACAAAGTTAACAGCTTTTAGTTTAAAAAAATTACATTGTCCTGTAGTTCCTTGAACATTGCAAAAACAAAGATGCATTTAGGTCTGGGCAAAATACAAGCTATTTTAAACAAGCAGAGCAATCCTAAGAGGGTTCAGGGTGGAAAGGGAGCATTCTACTTGCCTGATCATGATGCCTAGGACAGAAGTTAGGGCCACGGGAGGGAGAATCAGCAATGCTAGCAAGAATGCTATCGGGAGCTGATTTATACCCACGGGGCTACCCATAGCCATAACTGGAGACCCATAGCCATAACTGGAGACCCTATTCTCCTGGTGTTTATAGCATCAAATGGGAGGTAGCTTCCCCCTTTTCTGATGCCCTGCAGATAATGAGCCGAGGGGTTGTGATAACTGCATGAAACATCTTTTCTTGTAACCAATCAACTCAAAACATATTTAAAGTACACCTTATACATATTTAAACAGACAGAAACCCCACAGCTCCCAGCCCTCCTCGGCCTATCATACTCACTGTGGGATGCTGGGGGTCGTAAAACCTTTTCTGCCTGAACTTGCATATGGTTATGCCCTTAAATGGTCTACAGTCTGACTTTTTAACCTTATAAAATTCATTGATTTTTAGATGAATTTTAGATTTTTAGACTGATTCTCTAAACCTGACAGGTGTACACAATCCAGCTTATCTCCTCAGTTATACTGCCATCCAGGGGAAAGTAGCTTGGTTTTTCCTTCTTGAAGCTAAGGGATAATAATTATTTATGTCAGTTAATAATATGGGTATGATGTGCTCTAAACAAGTCAGCTTACTGTTTGTTCTAGCTATTTTGTTTATCGATTTCCATTTTTGTCTCTCATCTTTCTACAGCAGTGCAGATTATCATAGCTTTGATACATGTTGCTCTTGGAATCATTTTACTCTTTTCTGCTAAAGAATTTTCCCCCTTGGCTATGAACATCTACTATCCCTTCTGGGGAGGAGGGCTTGTAAGTAATATAAAGAAATTGTTGCTGACATAGCTAGGTAGGCCTTTGGCCTGGTCCAGCCGGCCTTTTCTTATGTTCTTATGACCAGTGTAGCCTGAGTTCATTTCTGTGCTTTGGGCAAATGAATCAGTTGTTCACAAGGCTGTGATAATGATGAATGGGAGAACTGCTGCAGACTATTACATAGAGGAGTCAGAGTAGAGGGCTAGTTCTTGCAACAGCAATAACAACAAGTTGCTGGGAACTGTCGGAGTTTTTACTTGTTTTAGACATGCATAGGACTGGACCTTCGTAACACATTTATTTATTATATTTCTATCCCGCCTTTTTCCTTCTAAGGCATTCAAGGCCACTTACATAATTCTCCTCCTCTTCTCAATCTTATCCTCAAAACAACAACAACCCTGTGAGGTAGGTTGGGCCTGTGAGCCCCATGGCCAAATGAGGACTAGAACTCAGATCTCTGGAGTCCCAGTCTTGCACTCTCAACCGCTACTCCACATTGCCTCATTTATAATGGCACAAATTTTTGAGCAGGGGTTCACTTCTGATGAAAAGGACGCCAGTGTATGATGCCTCGCTGGGGAATGCTGGGAGTTGTTGGTCCTTTTTCTGCCTAAATATTTACAGGATTGTGCCCTTAATCTTACAGGTGCCACAAAGGCTGTTTGTTGTGATTCATAATGAAGTCAGTTTTCAGCTTTCTTAAAAAAAAACTTCTTTGCTTCACAGTTATGTACAAAACATTTCTATAGCATTGTGACATATGGAAATATGACAGATATTTTAATACTATTCCCCGAGAATGGTTTGATTATTGTCTGGGCATGACTACCACAGCCCCTCATCTGTCTCATCCCCTGCAAATTATAACTGCAAAATGAATACTGAACAATTAGGAGTCTTACTGAGAGCATGCATATAGGTGCTCTGAATAGATAGTCAAATGCTGAACAGGTATTCAAAATGCTGGACTGTGATTTTATCAACAAGGCCTTGGCAGCTGTAGGCAGCCTATAAATACATGAATGTGTATTACTTGGGGGTTGGTGCTCCCTGGTATAATAAGGCCTGCAATTGTTTTTTTGACTATTTCTTCTTACTCTTTCTACAGTTCCTCTGTTCAGGAATCCTTGCATCGCTAGCTGCAACAAATCCTATTGAAGGTCTGGTAGGTAAAGGATAGATGCTTGTTGCAAAAGGCCATTACTAGGGACTACCTTATCACTGCTTCTCTTAGTTCTGCTAAATTCAAGGGTCACCTTTGTTCTCACAGCTAAATGGATTTAGTCCTGAAGATAATGAAAAGTAGGCTTCCCATGGTGTGTGTATATACACATTTGCTTTATCTCACTGGCACCTCTGATCAGAATATGAACAACAACAACAAACAAAGAAGCTTGCACTCCCCTTCTTTGTGGGTTCCTTGAATAGCCAGGGGGTGATCCGTGGGCCTCCAAAAGTGCCCAGGTGAGCAACACATCAATTCCTCTCCCCAAGTTGGTAAAAAAAGCAAGTGCATCTTGCCATGGATTTTATAAAGTTTCTTTCTCCTACGGCTCTAGAGGCTGTCAGTACACACAAGGGGCATGGACTGACAGCTGCAGTTCCCCTTCCCGGGAGACAGTGGGACAAAGCTGCTTTAGTAGAAGAAGCAGTTTTGGTTCTTACAGCTCTTACCTAAACACAGGCAGCTTCAAAGCAATTAATTATCTCTGCTGCACTTCCTCACAAGCTGAAGAGCTTGGCATAGCTCCAAAAAGCTATGCTGCCTTTGCACTCTGGAAAAATTCACTACGCCACCTCAGTAACTCCCTTGTCATTCTTCCAGCAGAGACCATCCAAGTGATTAAAATGATGAGGAGTCTTGTGCATCACCTTTTCTTGATTAAACTACTGGAGCTCATTTGAATGTGGCGTAATAACAAGGGTGCAGATGAATAAGCATTGAGTTTGTTTTGCACCAACTCATCTGTCCCTTTGGTGTCTGTTCTGGCTATGGCTGCTTGTTCATCCTAATGGTCCACAGGTTAATGCAGTGTCTTTTTCATACAGTGTAGTGGGTTTCAGAAACCAGTGTGAGACTATACCAAAGGTGCAGTGGGAGCTGCACTCCACTGGTAGGCAGGGCCAAAGGCAAAAAGTTCAGGAAACCGAAGGTCTGGTTCCAGGTTGGCTGGATTTGGCCCTGGGCCTGAGGTTCCATCCTTCTGGATAGTATGGCCCTGAATCTCCCATAAAATGCACTTGGCCTGTGCTGTTCTGCTCCTAGGACCCATCTAGTGAGGAAAGTGCTCCTGACCATGCTCAGAGTGCTCACTTCCTGGCACTCCGTTCCCAGTGTCAAGCCCTCTCACACGCTTCCATAGATAGATATTAGAGAAGTTCTCGGGCAGGTTCATATCCTGGAAAGGCTTCTTTTTCCCCTCTGTGAGCTAAGCAATTCTTTCTCCTTCTGTGTCTCTCTTTCAGGCAGCAGCCAGTCGTGTGCTTAACACCTTCAGCGGCCTTGGTGCATTAGCTGGAACAATTATTTTGATCCTAGATTTGAGGAAAAGGTCGTTGTTACCCATCACTTTAGCCTGCAGAAGAATCTCTAACTTGGCGTATTACTGCAAGGTCATCAAGGCATATGAAAGCGTGAGTTCTTGTCATCTGTGGAGGGCTGGCTCCAGGTTTGGGCGAAAAGGCCTCTGGTGGACTCCGTTCTCCATTAAGGAGTACTGGGAGAATTTTCTGGTTGTGGCAACGGTGCTTCAAGCAGCGCTGGGAGGGGAAGGCCAGAAAAAGAGGCTTTAGCACGAGGCTTAGTCAAGGTATGACTGGGTCTGATATCAGCTCTGATTTGATTGTGCATCTGTGAGTTCCGTGCTTTTTCCTATGTGTCAGAATCCTGCCAGTGGTTGAATCATGCATGGGAGACACAAAGTTTTATCTTGGTTTGGAAAGCCATCCAAGTCACTTGATTTTAAGAGAGCCCCTGTAAAATCCACAGCAGTCAACCGTAAGCCCCCAAGCCAAACCTGATGTGACGAGAACACATGTGTTCATGTGTCTTGTTTGTTCATGTGCCTTCCCTGTGTATGTGCAAAGTGGGGAAATCCAAGTGGTGGATGGGAGTGACCGGAGTTAAATCTCCTCCTCTCTTACCTCCTTGTATTCCGTTACTTTTCAGGCAATTTTCTCCCAGTCCAATTCTCATGGTATGGAAACTAAGTTTCGCTAGGGTGACCACTTATGAACTATCCAAAAGGAAGATGAAAGAGAATCTGATTTGTATAAAACATCTATGTATAGATGCAAATTTAGAGTTTAAATTTCAGCAGAAGTACACCACAGTGTGGAAAATTGTGTCCAGGAGACCTGCCTCTTGCTCCGTCTGCTGTCCAGGGCAACTTGCTCATGAGCCACTTCCAGGCCCAGCTCTTCCTTCTGATGGTTCTTTAAGCCAGACTTGGACTGGACAGTCCTTACAGAAGAGACAGTCCTCTGTAAAACAAGGCACATGGCCACCTGGGAGAGACACGCCTGAGAGAGTGTACCATCGGCAGGGGGTGAGGGCAGTCCAGTTTCTTGAAGCCAGCTACCTCTTCTAATGGCAGAGGGGAGATAGGCCCCTCCCACTGCCTTGCTTTATGTGTAACAGGGCAGGCACTTGAATAAAAGTGTGGTTTCCCTCAGAATATCCAGTTTGCCCTGTTCTCCAATATTTTAAGTCAGGGATTTCAACTGTTCAGCCTGCAGGGTGAATTCAATTTTGGAAGTGTTCTCAGGGCCGCATTCTGGTGGTGGGAAGGGCCAAAGGCCACAGGGAACATGGCCAGAGAAGCACCCATAACTCTAAAAATACATGGTACAGGTGTCCCTGGGAAACTTTTGAGAGAGATATTTTCTGAAAATGTGGGAAGCTCTGGAATTCTAGGGTCTGCCAGCTGAATTGTGTATCAGAGGTGTGCAGACTTCTGATCTGTGGTGGTTTCTTTTACAAAAATTAGAATGCTGGGATCTACTGGCCAGAGGCTGGTGTGACAGGCAGACACACAGAATTAAAGAATCCAGAGCCCAGGAATCCACTTGGAGTTCAGAACTGAACAGAGCTCACTATCCTTCCACACACAAATTCACTCCTGGTTATTCCAAGCTTTCTTCAAGTCAACAGCATAATTTAAGGCTCTGCAGGAGGAGCTGCTGTTGTCAAACAGTTGCGGAGCAGAGAATCTTGCTGATTTACTGCATATCACCAAAAATCCACCAGCAGGCCCAGTTCTGCCCACTCCTGATGTACACAACCAGGATTCTGCCGTTCGCTCGATCACATCTTTATTTCTTCTTTGATATTGATGTAAGCATGTGACTAATTAGGTTGTAAAGATTCTATAAACCACACAAAGTTGGGGTGGAGGCAGAGTTGTCACATCTAGTGGCGTTTGGAAATGGTTAGCTAGCTCTGGACCTCTGAACGTTGCATAAGCCACACTTGCTTGTGTTGTACTTTTCTGTAGGACGCTCCTTGGGTGAGTGCCCGTTTCTTCAGCATCTGTGAAGCTCGGATACAATCCTATTGCTTGCATGAATGCTTGAGCGTTGCCATTATTGCCTTTAACAGGCTTTGTTGTTTCATGCAGGGGATCGTGTACATGATGCTCTCCTTCACTCTCCTCGAGATGTGGACGGCATCTTCAACTCTCATACATTCGGTGAGGATTCGCCAACTCTTAACATAAGTGCCATTCTAACAGAGCTGCTGACTGCTGTGGTTTTATTTCAGCCTTTCCCCGATGTGCTGGACTACACCTCCCAGTATTCCCTGATAGATTGGGGAAGGGGGCTTTATTTAGTGCCTTTAGGGTGCCGAGTGCCAAGCAGAAGAAGGAAGTTCACAAGGTGTATTGTTTACACATTCACATGAATGACTCAGTGATACCAATCTCACAGGATTGCACCAAATATTATCCCCGATCAGATGGGAAAAACCCATCACTTTTGTATCTCCTAGCTGCACCCTCCACAGTAACACAAAGGTGGTATATAGTATTTTCAGAGGTGGGACTGCAATCACCAGCCTCTGCTATTGGTGCAAAAGGATCAGCTTTGATTTCTGTAGAAAAGAGCCATGTGTGGGCATTCTGGCAAGGTGGTATTCAGGCTTGTGCAAAATGATCTATGGATGTGAATTGGGAAGTCCCTAGTTCATGTCTCACTTCAACCGCAGGCTCCCCAGATGGCCTGCAGTAACCCACTATTTCTAGTACCAGGACAGGGATAATGGCCTCCTGCAGATGGCAGTCACATTCAGGCTGTTGTCTAGATTTGAAGTGGATCCTTAAGTGGACCCCACCTGCCTTAAGAGGAGATGCGCAGAGGCAGAATGCAGTTGTGCAGGAGGGAGGCTGGTGCTTGGGGGCAGCCCTGGGGGGACAGGCCAAGCACTGACCTCAGCTATACAGGGGTTGCAACATCAACCAGATGCAGAGCAAGGACAAAAGCGAGGATGCTGTCCTCCCTTGCCAAGGATGGTTCACACCTGCCCAGTCCCTGCCCATGTGCCAAACAACCAAGGAAACCACAGCACGGGCGGAAGGCAGCTTCGTACATGAGAATCTGTTGAACTACTTGTACCCGTTGTTCATGCTGAAGAGGAAAGGAGAGGCATTTGTAATGAGCATCCTGGTCAATGTAGTACTTACATTTGCTTTACGCACATGACTAAAGAGGAGCTGTGCATAAAGCAAATCCCCCCTAGGCCTCACCTTTAAGGGGATGGCAGCACAGTGGTACAAAAATAAGAGCGGGGAGAGGTAGGCTTAGCTAGCAGAAGCATCTTAAATGATCTGTAAATAAGAAGTGTGGCAACAGAGGGAGGCTAGCAAGGAGATACAGTAGTGGGCTAGTGAAGACAGAAACACAGAAACAGAGCGAGTCAGAAGGGGGCCTCCCAGGCCATCTAGTCTGACCCCCAGCTCCAGCCAGCTCAACTCACATGCCCACCATTTGCATGTCCAGAGGTGACCAACAGAGACAGCGGGAGGATGCACAATGTTTTGGCCCTGAGGGCCATGTGTGATGTGATAAATGTTTTACAAACAAGTACAAAGAGGAGGGATGTGGGTGGGGAGGGCTCATGGGACAAGGAGAGCAGCATTTCTCTAAGGACCATTCACTTAATTGTCAGAATCTGCGGGGAGGAGTGTAAGCAAAGATCAGGACTTCATGAAGCAAAAAGACTGTGCATATCACAATTCAGCTGGTGTTGACACCCTTTAATGCACAGAGTTATATTTCTCTAGGATCATGAGCAGAACTCTTTTGCAGAAGTGCACAACCATGAGTGGGAGGTGCTTGCAACATTACAAATCCACCACCTCGCTTCTTCCCAAAGAACTTTTGCAGCTCTCTTTAAAATAGATTTTAATAAAGTGCTAATGATGCTGATGCCACCTACTTTTTAAAAGTAAAGAGGGACCATTGCCTGATGACTGTGGGGAGGATCAAGGGAGATTACAGAGCCCAGTGTTTGGACCACTGATTACTGTTATCTGTTGGATGCATTTTCAAGGCAGGGGAAAGGTAGGTTTACTGGGTGGGTCTGGGAGGATAAAAAGTTTGGTCAGTGAGTCCTGTTTAACCGTAAACCTGCATTCCAGCCTTTCCCAACTTGGTGTGCTCCAGATGTTTTAGACTCCTGGCATTGTTGGCTATTCTGGCTGGGGCATTGGGAGTTGAAGTCCAAAGCATTTGTAGGGGACCAGGTTGGGGAAGGCTGCTCTGCACACAAGCAAGAAATGCATTTAGCTTGTAAACAGCAGTTCAAACACTTAGAAAGGGAACCATGCTGAAGAATCATATGGAAACTTGATGGACTGTGTATCTCCCTTTAGGATAAAAAGAAAGCCAAATCACACAAAGACAATGAAGAACAAAATGTTGTCTTGCTGCCTACCCCACAGCCGTGCCCTGCAAATGCATTTACTGACCTACCACCATATGTCCATACAGAATAAAGCAGGTGAGAATGTTTCAGAAATGATGAATCCAGACTTCCCTCCCAGACAACCTTTTGCTGGGATATTGGAGTTGGCTTGGTTTTTTAACAAGAAGAGATACCAGGCTGTTATATCAGAGCGGAGTGTATCAGAGGTTGCGTGCGCGCACATGCGCACACACACACACAGCATCGTTTTGCAAATCGGTTCCCTTCCAACTGAGGTGTATAAGCCTGATCAATGCATACCTGATTGATTGAAAACTTTTCTATACCGTCCCATACTTAGACTATGTACATTTCCACACAGAGGGCTCCTAGTGCTATCAATGTAAAGGCATTGTGGAGCTATTCCATCTTCCCCTGTTCAATGGATTTTTTTCCAGATATGGAAGCACTCAGAAAATATAGGAAAGTTACAAGTGGAAGTTATCATCTGAACACCTTCTTCTCCCCTTAAAATTCTGTGAATGAGGCAAGATGATGGCATGATTTTTTTAAAGAAAAGCACCCAACATGCCTCAGCTCAGCCTTCCCAACCTGCTGTCCTGCAAATGTTTTGGACTACAGCTCCCAAAATTCTTGAGTAATGGCCTTGCTGACTGGGGTTGGTGGGATTTAAAGTCCAAACCATTTGAAATGCTTCTGGTTGGGGAACCTGCTCTCGCTAGATTAGAGCTGGTACTTTTTGAGTGGCTGCCTCAGATATATGGATGTGTGCGATCAGAGGGTGTATGCAGTAACGTAGCAGGTGATGCTGTTTTCTGGCATGTCAAGGCAATGATAGGAAACACTTCACTGGCTGAATTCCTACAAGGACGGTTGTTGCTAAATAGATGGCAATAGGACCAGTAACAAAACGACAGCAGCAATTCTGTTTATGAAACTTTATGGTACGTAACATTTAACTTGGGAGTATCCTAGTTTTCCTTAGAAGCCCCTTTACAGAGGAGTAAGTGCCTGACATGTCAGTGGAGAAAACGGGGACCATTCTGCCTTAAAAGAGGAGGAGCGACAGGCCAGGCCGGCATCAGGAGTCAGCCCACCCCCATGCCCAGAAAGGCTCTGGGGCCAGGTCCTGGGCCTTCTGGCCCTGCTACTGCACCTTCTGCTCCACCTGCCCTCTCCGAGTGAGTGAATGTGTGGGGACATTAAGGAGGACGCCAGTCTGTGCTCACCCCTCCCTTGCCTTCTGAATGGTTGTGCGGTTTGGCACCAAGGGAAGGGGGCAAATGAGCGCAATCAGGAGATGGGATGCCTGGTGAAGGCGTCTTATCCCTACAAACAAGGGACTTGTCTAGTGATGGCCCACAGGAGCAGAGGAAGCGCCCATCCGATTGCATAGAATCAAAGCCTTCGTGTGCCTGGCTCAGTATCGCCTCCCAAAAGGAGGGCAATCTTTGTCCTCTCCAAGGGCTGCCTGCCTGCTGTGAAGGATTGAGGCTCGCATCTGTGTGCACCTCCTTCTGCGTAAACACAAACTCCACCCACTGGAGTGCAGGGATGGGGAGGTCCAAACCTTTCTCTATGCTGAAATCGTGTTGTGCTCTCCTTGCCAGTCAGCCAGGTGGAGAAAAGCCTGCAACTGAAACAAAGACTGCCTCTGCCCATGCACCATCTTCCCCATGTAACAATCCGCTGAACAGCTACCAAAAGCAGCCCCAGAATAAACAAGCTCGTTGTTCCTGCCTTGTTCCCTTCCCCGCAATAAGCCAAGGACCCTGCGTGCCACCCTCCCATCCTATCGCCTCTTATCCTCCATTATTCTCTTCTTTTTTGCAGGCCCTTTTGTGCTTCCACCGGTGAAACATCTGTCGGATAAAATCATTTCCATGTGTGTGAGCTCACAGGCATTTAGCTTGAATCAAAATCTTGGTATCCTTGGTACGCAAGGAGTGTGAGTGTGTGTGCTGCATCCATTACTAGACGTCACGGCTACATTGGGAAAGCACCACTTCACAGCAGGAAGATGGCAGCCTTTTCAGGAAAATGAACTGTGGAAAAGAAACCAAGCGCTGCTTATTTCTGTCCCATAGGCCCTCTTGTCTTCCGTGTAAAGTTGGACTTCTCCTTTGGACTTTCCCAAGAGCTGAGAGTTGTCTGAATTGTGTAACATGGGAGTATCCTCCCAGCCATCCCCAGAGAGCCGCATGTGAACCAGGAATGGTGGCTGGTGTGTACTCCTAAAATGGCATCCCAATCGCTACGGCTTCCTCGTACGTGGCTAGAGATAGAAAGGTTAGCGGGTTGCTTTAGTGTTGAGAAAATGCACTGTCATGAAAAACTGATGGTAGTGCAGATGGCACAGTGAGATCAGGGCTACAGCTCTGAACTGCAGTCCAAATGTGGTGATGTGTTTGGAGAACATCTAGGCCTTGGGGCTCTGCTCCTGAGTGCTCATGCGTAGCAACCAGTGCCTGGGGTAATTGTATACAGCTCAGATCCACAGAGCTTACACCATGCTTGGGCACTGGCTGCTGAAGCCACATATACATGATTTATGACATGTTACAAATGTTCAATCAGCTTCACATGCATTATCAATTATTTTCCTTCTCTCCTTGAAGTATCTTCCCTAGGGAAGCTGGACAGACTATTCTATTACCTTCTGAAAAATACTCAAAAGCTCTGTGTGCTTTGCCTATGAGGCATTGTGTGGCTGCGGAAACTGGTATTTAATTCAGTTAGATGCTTTATTTTACGTATGCCATTTTGAGTGGTCTTAACTGACCGAATTGCAGTGGATTATTTGCAATTTTTCAAAACAGAATTTGTAAGATCACTTTGTGATTTTGTGAGAGCTCCTCAAATGCTACAGGGCAGGTCCAGCCTCTTTCCCTCCCCATCCAAAGCACTGCAAGCAGAATCTTTGCCACCACACTCCACCTACCCTTCACATTTGGAGGCTTCTGGGCACCCTCATTCTCGCTGGACCGCACCCTGAATTATTCATTAATTGCTTGGTGTTGGTAGCTCCTTTTTCCACTGCAGGCAGAACCAGCCTCACCCTATCTAAGGCTGCTGAATGCACTGCCATAGTGGTTCTTATGTCTATGAAGTCAACACAATTCTATACGTGTCTACTCAGGAGAATGCCCCACCTGGTTTGGACATCTCACTCAGAGATAGATAAAAGGGTTGCAGCCTAAAAGTAGTTTGTGCTTGAATCTGTTTGCAAAACATTTTAAAGTTCTATCTTGTTTAAAATGTCCGTTCATATTACAAATGCCTCTTTTCCCACTACTCGCCTTTACTTATCTGTCCTAGAACTCAGCCTGATCCATATCCTCAGCGTAACGACATACATAGCAGTGGCGACAGCAAGTCCCTCAACCTGTAAGCCTGCCCTTGCAGCTCAAATCAGCGAGTCACATGCTGGTTCAGTCCCTCCCCTGCTTCGAGTCAGTTCCATGGTCAACTTCTGCCCAGTTCAAAATGAGCCGTGCTAAAAATGTGCAGAAGCAAGTTTTTCTTGGCCAGAAAATGTACGTTTGCTTTATGAGGCAATCTGTCCCTGTTGCACTTTAAATGTTTGTCTTCATCCTCAGACCTCCTTCTCAGGACCAGACCACTCACTATTACAGAGATGCATCTGTGCTCACTTGGAAATATTAGAAATAGCAAGTGTAGAGGCTGCCAACAGATACAGGGACCACAGTGCAGAGAAAGAGGGGATAACTATTCCCTCATCAGAATCATCCCTGAAGCCGTCTGCTGCAGCAGCAAAAACTTGACATCACCTGACCCTCTTTCCTCCCTTCCCCATGCTGTTAATAAAATTTTAAAGCGAGTGAGAGATGCATTAAAATGTGCAGTAATGTCCCTATTTACTATCACCTCCACCTCTTACCTGCAGCCAACCAGTATTGGCTTGTTCCTGTTTGTATCTGTGTACGAACCAATTTGCTATCACAAGTCCTGAAGGTGACAAATACAAAGAAGAGCATCCCCCAAATCGCATGAAAACCATGGAAAAAGCTAATGGGACCTGTAGCAAGGGAGTAAAATGCATGCTACCAGCATTAGACTATAACAGTGCAATATATCTTACAATGAGACTTTAAAATGCATGTGCGATAGCCATAAGTCACTTTTAAACACTGCACATACACACTAGATCCCAATTGTAGACCGGCTCTGACATGTTAAGATCTTCATAGCATATCCTGTTTCATTACTTCATCAGAAACACCAATAGAAATTTTCTCATGGAAGACAGCTGAAAATAACCCTCTGGCTACTTGCATCCTGTATTTAGCAGCGGGTTGAACCCAATGGATTTTCTGGCCCTTTCCAACTCTACTATTCCATGATTTTATGAATATCCCTTCCAAAGACTTGTTATCTGATGGAAACAATCCAGAACATTTTAGCCAGACAAATTCTGCAAAAGGGAAGTTTTAATTCAAAAAGCCAATAAACAAAGATATGGAAATCTCAACAACCAACCAACCAACCAACAAACAAAACAGCAGCAGCCTGGAACATTATTTTTAGCTTCCTTTCTTGGGAAATTTCCATAGGTGGTTCTGATGCAGTAATGAAACAGGATATAATCTGGAGATCCCATAATTTCATCCCCTGCCCACATCTGGGAATAAGCATATAGGAAAATAATTTTATATAATACTAACTTTGATAATTTTCTATGCATTCCATGGACTTTGCTTATGGTTTGCTTCCTAAGAACAATCCAGAGCAAGGACTAGAAACAGCTGTTTCAAACAGACACATTCACTGTTTTAAGGTTTTTTAAATTTTGACTTTTATAACACATTTAAAGATAAATGTAAAACCTCCGTAATATCCTCCAAAACAGGATTCTGTTCCCTGCCTCCACGCAACTCTCTCACAATGAAATAAATATCAAGCCTTCCTGTGCCAAGGAGGGAGTGTCAATTCCTCTGTATTCCCAGCCATCCTGTGCTCTCACCCTGGACATAAGAGATGCACGAGGGCAGTTTCATGCAACACCCAAAGACCAGGGCAAAGGCAGGACTGAGCTGGACCAGAGGCTGGAGCAAGGCGCTCAGCCTTTACAGTACTGGTACGACTGGGATACCTGACGCCTATATTTTCCCTAACCACCCACCCTACTGAAACCACAGAGGGATACGGGAAGCCTTGGGAAATGGGTCAGGCTGGGACCACTACTGACTCACACAGCATCGAGCTGGGAGAGCGGAAAATCTCCTAGTCTTGAGAAACCTCACAAACCCGGAAAAAGGGGAGCTATGTGAACAGTCAATTCACAGACAACGTAACACAGTTTAAGTCAGGGTAATATGAGCACACTCCCCTTCACCCGCCGCCCCACTACCCCCAGGAGGTATGAGCGGAAGGATGTGGCCGAACCGTGGGTCCAGTGAGACCGCAAGCAGAAGCCAGGAGGTGGAATTGATAGGAACGGATGCAGCCTCTGGGATTATATAGATGTTCGCTCCTCCTTATCTTAGCAGCACCGCTTATCAGTTTGCAGCCTCTGCTGAGCAGAGCCCTCGCCTTCTCTCTCTCTCTCTCTCTCTCTCTCTCTGTGCCTGGTGTCCTTGGCTCCCTTCTCTCACGCTGGTGGCTTCTCATCAGCCTGCTCCTGGCACCAGCCACTGCAAGTCAGAAAATGCAGAGACTTTCCCACACGGGCTTACTCCTCACTCTCTAACTTGAGGCTGACACTGCGTGTCTTGGCTCGGGGCTGGGCGTTCCCCGGTCCCTCCCGCTCGGCCTGGCTCTGTCCCCGAGAGCGCAGCAGCTGGCTCTGCTTGCGCAGGAAGTCGACGGGAGCAGGGCAGCCGTAACTGCCTTTGCCCAGCGTAGGCCTCGTCGTCCCCTTTGGCGAGTGGGCAAGCGACGCTGCTTCCAGCTGTGCCAGGTGTGCAACGTAGCCATCCGACAGGAACTGCAGGGAGACAGAGAGATGGGAGCAGATGACGTTTGCCTGGCTCGTCGTCTCCCCTAGTCACCACCTCCTGACAAGCCGCAGGCTCTGCGGGTGTTTGCATGACATCCTCATCGCCTGACTGCTTAGCCTGTGGTGTCGAACGCCAGCTGAGCCCAGGTCCCCTGTGAGGCAAAGCCCCATACCTGGCACTGGCTTTGTAATTTTTTCACAGCCCGGCCCACAATGTGGATCTGAGTAGGAGGGAGCCCTAAAGAGCTGTAGACCGAGATATCCTTGGTGGATCCGTAGGCAGCCACAATGGTTACCTCTGCCTGCAATAAATGAGCGAAAGGCACCAGTGAGTTCAGTCAGCCTCGCTTCTCTCTCCCACCCGCCTCAACGTGCTGTGCCAGAGCCTCCCTCCTATTCTCTCTCGCACCCCCGTGCGTGAAAGCCCCCCCCCCCCGCAACAGTGCCTGGCAGGTGCTCACACACCTCTTGCTGAAGGCCTTGCAGAAAGGCAGCTTTCTGGCGGAGCGGGTCATGCGTGAGGCCATCGCAGAAAGAGACGATGCCATGGGGGAAGTTGTGCTGGGTCAGCCAAGCCACCACTCGGTGCTTCTGCATGTCTGGACGCCCAGTCACATAAATGATCATGAAGCTGGAGTCTTGCCAATGCCTACACACACAAAAATACCAGTTGTGGACAATGGGTTGCTCCCTTGCTCAGGCTCCCCTTTGGGTTGCAGGAATGGGAAGTGTACAGCTAAAGGGAGGGAGCTGAGGGAGCAGACAGAAAAACATCCAGTCACTTGGAACTGAAGGCCACTGTTTAAAGCACTTTACAGCACTTTTCCTTACAAGCTCAAAGAATTGCCTTGCAGCTGCGTGGAATCAAGGGAATGGTTGTTCTATCCAGCATTATATCAATAATAACAGCAGCAGCAGCAGCAACCACAATCATATATCTTATTTCATCTTGCATTTTTTAAACTTTGTTTCAAATTAAAATACAATTTAATAAAGAAGAAATGTTGGCCATGTAAATTATTTTAAATTTATTTCAAATATGTCTAAGTGGCCTCTCCAGACAAAATCAATTTAGGTAGCTCTAAGAAGCTCACAAGCCAGACATGAACTGAGAACTGTTCACCAACTGGGCCCTGTGTTGTTACACTGCCCCTTCTTCTCTGCATTTTCTGAACTCTTTCCATTTTCCAGATATAGATCCATTAGCAGCTGATCAGGCCTTCGTATATGTTATCATGTGCTGATTTGTTCCTCCTGGGAAGGATTTTAAATCCCCTTTATGCCAGTTCTTTATGCCAGTACAAGCAAGTTTCCTGCTGGTCTGGTCCTCTGCCCTTCTGAGCTGCAACCTGGAAGGCCTGGCCTTCCACTGCCTTTTCACCACGCCACGCCATGGACAATTTCAAGGTATTTCAACTTCTAAACTTCCTATTACTACAGTTAGATTTGATCCTCTGAGCTTGAAAGTTTGCTGTTCAGACTTGCCTTAGCGCTAAACTTGAAGACTGATTTACACAGAAGAAGGGACTGGATGCGACCTCAGGTGCCTGGACAGACATGCAGCCCAGGACGTGTTAAGGCTGGAACAAGCACACGCCATCCCGTGTGCTTTACTCAGCGGAGCACTGCCTCTGACAGCAGGGCATTGCGCTGCTCGACAGACCCAGCCCTCCATGAAACTGTCTGTGCCACTTAAAGCCAGGACAGCAGCCATGACCACGAACCGCCGGGTGTTCCCTGTCCCACAAAGGCATTTCCTCTTTATACTGCTCATGAGAACAGGAGGAGGAGGCAGGACTCTGCCGCAAATGTTTATATGGCTGGGATGCACCTAATTTGGCCCACAGGACTCACCTTGCATGTTAATATTCAGCTACCAGGCTGTTTTCAAAGGTCAGAAAAAATGAGGGGAGCTTCTGTCCTCACTTATAAAGAGAAGATTGGGGCTAGTTTAACCATGTGTATAAGTCTTTAAAAAAGAACAGTTGGTCTGACTGAAGCTTTCCCCCGCAAATATATCCAGCTTAACCATATTTTGGCAATGAGCGAAACAGAAACAGGCAAACAAATTTAATATATGATAATGGAAGAATTCTGAGGGATGAAACAGAAAGGTTGTTTCCATAATTGGTGCTTTCCATTGGTGCTTTCCACTGGTGCTATAATTAAGGTTTTTATTGTTTTATATTTCCACTGATTTGGGAAAACTGACTAGGTGGACTAAAGGAGAATAGGAGGCTAAGGTTTGATTTCTGGCTATGCTGGGTATTTACATTATCAATATATGCACCCGAACATTTTTGATAGATTAGGGCAAACAGCATTTTGCAAGAATAAGAATGCCCAGCAGCACATAAGAGTCAAGAGAAATCATCCCAATTCCCTCTCAACATTCCTGGCACACACTTTGGAGCCGTTTGGCAAAGGAAAAGAAACCAGAGGACAACCAGGTCAGGAGCTCTTACTTACCTTACTACGTCGACAGCTCCAGCACGCACCTTGGGGTCGCTGCCCATGATGGAGACACTGGCTGTGAAGGAGCCATCGATACTAAAAACAACACAAGGGGTGGCCTTGGCTACCACAGTCAGGAAGCACTCGGCATAGGTGTGATCACCCCTGTGGAGAGAAGCGAAATGGAACGAGCCCAGTGGCAGCCTGCTCAGGATGAGCAACATGTGGCCCTTGCACTCAGGGAGCACCTGGGCACAGGTACACCAGAAGGCTGCTGCTTCGCCCCTACAGCTTTAGAAAACAAAGGGCGAGAACCAGCTGAGAAACAGGGGCCTGTCATTTCACTGCAAAGCCCTCGTGGCTTACTGGGGGACTTATAAGCCAACCCAACAGCCCATGGCTTGGAAGGTTTAAGAGCCACCCTGTGGGTAGTTGTGTCATCTGAATGTGGACAACACAGCCAACAACTGAAACTGCTACAGAGCCGCTTAACAAGAATTGAAGAAACTCTTGCAGCTTTCCCTGACAGCTGTCCCGCCCCAAAGTGCCCAAGGGGCGCTTGGAAGTCACTGTCAGAGACTGTCCCCTGAGCTCTTGCTGATGCCTGCAGAACAGTCTTGCTCGTGTACAAGCAAATCCTGCTGGCATTGGCAATGGTAGCTGCATCCCTGCCATCCTTGCCTGCCATACTGGCCCAGCGGAGGGGTCAGAGAAGCAGAGGTTCCTCTTTCTCCCCCCTCACCACAACTCGTTTGGACCAGCAGCACTGGCAGGAAACACAGAGCGAGTCAGAAGGGGCCTCCTGGGCCATCTAGTCTGACCCCCAGCACCAGCCGGCTCCGCTCACGACATGCCCACCATGTGCATGTCCAGCCTATCTCTGAACACCTTCACTGATGGGGCCTCAACAACCTCCCGTGGAAGCCCATTCCACACCCTCGGGGTCCTATCTGTCAGGAAGTGCTTCCTGGCATCCAAATGGAACCGTGGGCTCCCTGAGCTTTGCTCCGTTGGAGCGCGTCCTGCCTTCCTCTGCAGGGGAGGTCTCAACCCACCTCCGTGTGACACCCCCTCACATACCTGTATGTCGCCAACATATCCCCTCTGACTCTCCTCTTCTCCAGGCTGAAGAGACCCAGTTCCCTCAGTCTTGCCTCATACCCCATCCCCTGCAAACCGGCCACCAACCTTGTGGCCCTACGCTGCACTGACTCCAACCTGGCTATATCCTTTCTGTAATGAGGGGCGCAAAACTGAACACAATAGTCCAATTGCGGGCGCACCAGAGGCATGTAGAGTGGTAGTAATACCTCTTTTGATCTAGAAGCCACACTTCTGGCTATGCAACCAAGAGTGGCGTTCGCCCTCTTAACCAACGCATCACACTGCTGACTCATGTTTAGCCTGCAGTCAACCAGCACCCCAAGGTCCCTTTCACAAGTGCTGCTCTCCAGCCACTTGTCACCTAACCTGTACTTATGACACCCATTCCTATGCCCCAAGTGCAAGGAAAGAGGCTCCCACTCCAGCAAGGCTTTTTGTGCAACAGCCAGACCTGCTAAAGCTCCTTCCCAGCTCCCCCACAAGAGGTGATCACGACTCCCACAGAGAAGCTGACTGTGGCTCCCCCTGCTCTGCAGTACCATGTGCCCCAGGCCTTTCAGCTGCTGGCTGGCAGCACAGGGTGAAGAAGAATGGCCAAGGGGCTCCACTTCCCCTTGTGGCCAACAGGTGGCAGCAGAGGAGAACCTTAATGCTCCCTTGGGGTCCCCTGGGACACCTGCAGGAGAACTGATGGGGGCCCTTCCTCCATGTGCCCAATTGCGAGCACGTGCTTCAGGGATAGGGCGGCTTACAAGCCACAGTGCAGAGCGTTCTGAGCAGAGCGGCTTACTGCATCTTGCCAGCCCTCTGAATCAGTAGAGCAAGCAGCCAGTGGCAGACTGAGAACAGAATGTCCACTCCAGAGGAAGCTGCTCAGGAGGTTCACCGAAGGAAAGGATCCTGCACGCACTCACCTCACCACCATCCGGACAGGGTACATGCCAATGCCCAGCATCTTCTCCTCGGCGAGGGTGTAGGAGAGCCTCCCACTGCCACTCGTCACCTCTGTGCCGTAGTGGACCCATTTCCCTGACAGGGGCTGTGCCATAATGTAGATATCCACCTGTGAGGAGAGATCCAGGGCAGCAGCATTCTTCATTCCACTGAATCCAGCCTTCACTAATTTCCTACCCCAGACTCATTAACTTCAGGGCTGGAAGGGGAGAGGCGTGATTTCCCCCTTAATTCCCAAGATCTTGCTATTCTGCATTCGGCCTACAGTCCTCTTCCCACACTCCTCCTCTGAACACCCCCTAGTCCATTCTGCAAAACACTCATCCCACCCTGTGGGAAGTTCCCCTTGTTTTGTCAAGGCCCATTTCTGACACCTTCTCCCCTGCAGTCCACAACAGTGCCATTTTCCTCATGAATATGGCCTGCCCCTATAACCAAATACATGCCCTTCCTCCATACTTTTGCTACCCACAACCTGTTCCAGTTTCTCCCTCCAATCCTCATTTTGGTTTGCTGCCCCCATGCTTACTGCTTCCGTTTTCTCTGTATCCAGAGGCCAATGGAGACATGGGGAAGCTGCAAATTGCAGGGGAACTGGGAAATAGTGAGGTTCTATAACAGCCTCCCCACAACTCTGCCCAGCTGCTGTAGTCACTCAGAAGCAAGAACTAAGCAAGTTTTCACAACTGAA